ACAAAGGGGCCTTTCCCAGCCTCCCTTCTCCAAAGAAAGGTTTGGCTATTGTGTCTTCCCCATCAAAATATAGCGGGAATATTTCCAGTATAAGCTAGATAAGATAAACAAACTGGAAATATTACAGCCGCTAATGTCCCTAACTGACCGGGGGGTGGGGTGGGGATCTGTTGCAGAAGCTGCAGCTTTAACTGCATTTATGCGTTTCAACAATGCTTTCAATTGCACATATTTGTGTTCTGCAAGCTGTCTTGGGCACAGCAGAGAGGCGCAATGTAAATATGTTAAATAAAAGCTGCAGAACTGCTTGTCTACCGCCTGTGGCCTCCAGAAGCCTCCCTAGACGCATGTTAGGGATCCCTGTTCTAGACAAACTTCTACCCTGACAGCCGCTTTTTACTATGTCGACACACCTGCACACATAGGAGTCACTGCCAGATATTCCTGGACTGGTGCCACGTGAACAAAAGGCCTCTTTGCATACACCAAGACCTTTTTTTCCCCAGAAAGGCACGCAGGTGTCCGAATGTGTACCAAGGCCACACCCTTCAACCTGGACACTCGGAACACTAACGCTGCAGGTATGCAAACCACCACTCATCCAGTGACCGGAAGAAACCGATCCCCTAAGCGGCGCCTGCACAGTGAGCTCAACTGCACGGGCCAAGGGAGCTTTGACTGTTCAAACCTTATCCCTTGGGAAAGTTGTCGGTCTCTAAGGTGCTACTAGACTTGAATCCAGCTCTTCTACTGGAGATGGACACAGCTAACCCTTTGAAATCATGCTAAGCTCAGACATTGTTGCACCGGTACCACTATTTTGGCTGCATGCAAACCAGGCAGGGCTGCTGCCATGCTGGGACAAATGCAGCCAGAGCATGGAGATCTCGCCCAGCTCCTCTCTGCTTTCTGGGCAAGGAGCAAACAGGGGCAGCTACCATGTGTGGCCTCTTATCTGCAACACCACCCGATACCCACCACACAGATCCTAGGGTTGAACCTGGAACTTAAGGAGCAACCTCCACTCCACACACAGATCCTAGAATTCATTGCCGCAAGGTGCAGCACTGGCCAAAGGGGGTTTCTGTAAATCTGCAGGAGGGATCCTCATGGTCAAAAGGAACCCTTCGGGTTCAGAGATGCCAGATCGTGAGAGGGAGGGCAGGAAGCGATGAGCTCGGCTCTTCTGGCCTTTTCTCGTATGCCCAGGGTAATGCCGGTCAACACTTTGGGGGTCAGGAAGGAATTTTCCTCCCGGCCAGATTGTCCCAGGCATCTTGGGAGTTTCTTTGCCTTCCTCTGGACATGGCCACTGGGGGAGTGGAAGGGGGCGCGGGCAGCAGCTATGAATTCCCTGCACTGTGCAGGGGGTTGGACCCAATGACCCTTGAGGTCCTTCTCCAGCTCTGTCTAGGACTGCCTCTGGACCCCACTGGGGGTGCCAAACAGCAGGGGAAGGTTGTTGCCTGCAAGCTCTGACTGTGGGTTTCCTGGAGGAATCTGACTAGCCCCTATGGGGCACAGGATGCCGGACTAGCCAGGCTTTTGGCCTGATCCTGCAGGTCTGCTTTCACGGCCCGGGGCTCTGCCCTGGAAGACGTGCTGGGAGCGAAAGGAGCAAAAATGAAACTACAGAGGGTTGGTGCCCTGCCCCGCCTCGGCAATGCCTCGCCACTGCACCCTCTGTCAAGCCTCGCATTTGCCCCCACCGCGCACCTCCAGGTCCCCGGCTGCCTCCTTACCTTTGATGTCAAGGACGCCTTCTTCTTCTGCTGCTTCAACTTCTGCTGGGCCGGCTGGGGGCTGGAGGACTGGTTGTCCGAGGAGCCCGGGGACATCTGAGGGACGGGGTTGGTTTTGCTAGCCAGGGGGGCAGAGGGGGGCGGCGGGGCCGTGACGGAGGCCGTCACTGCGGGGGCCTTGTCCTGCAGGAACACGTCCATCATGGCCGAGGTGGGCGGGAAGGCCTGGCGCTTGGCGAACGGGCTGTGCACCGCGGGATCCGACGCGTTCTTCAGATCTGCCGTGCCAGAAGGGAAAAGAAAGTTCCAACTCCGCTTTACCTCCGCAGCCCGGCCCGGCGATTCCCGGCTTGCGCTTCCACGGAGTGCTCGGCACTAAGAGCGCTTGCGCAGAATTGTGAGTGCTTCACCCCGATGGCCTTGCAGGTGACATTTTTCGCCACCGAGTCACGGCTGAGTTATGGCGACCCCACAGAGTTCACGAGGCGAGAGACACTCAGAGGCGGTTTTTGCCATTACCTGCCTCTGCGTCACGACCCCGGTATTCCTTGGAGGTCTCCCATCCAACTACTAGCTTCCGAGATCTGCGGAGATCGGGCTAGCCAGGTCTGGGCTTAGGATACAGCACAGGATACTTCACAGCAGGCTCTCCTCCCGGCTTAATGAACACGTGACGTGCACACACACACACAGACTGATTATGGAGGAACCTATTTATTCTATTCTTTCATACCCTGGCCTTTCTCCCCAGTGTGGACCCAAAGCGGCTCACTGCATTCTCCTCGCCTCCTTTTTATCCCCACAGCAGCCCTGCGAGGTGGGCCAGGCTGAGAGAGTGCGACTGGCCAAAGGTCACCCCATGAAGCTTCTATGAACCCATCTAGCTACCACGGAGAGAAGCACCGACGGCTCTGGATCCAAAAGCAGGCAAGCAGAGCTCGGCAATGGGAAGGAACCTTCCTACCGCCTTTCTGCTGCTGCTGCTGCCCACTGAACCCCCTGAAATTCTGCTCCCAGGATCAGAAGACCCCCACCCCAACAGATATGATGTGGCTGGGGGACGGGGGGGG